TTCACTTTTTCACGTTTTTATAATTCTTGCCAAGGTTATTATGATAATGTCTATATGTAACCTGGTGACTCCTAATATATTACTCACTACAGCTTGTATTTTTCCCAAATGGCTGGAGTCAGGATGAGAAATAACACAAATTAACTTTTGCATGTACCATACTTCTAAAACTCCAGTCTCCTTTTGCCAGAGGTTAAATTTTTGGTTGATTTAAATTTCGTTTTTTCTTCCATCATCAGCTAACCCTTGGTGAGAATGAGTAAATTAATATCCCAATAATAGAAACATGAGTGAGAAAAGAAAGAAGGCAAAAAGCACTAGATTATGTGCTCCATAACTCTTAATCAAATTTTAGGACTAATAAAAATGCCAGATGCAATAGAGTATTTACTAATCCTGTGCAGCTTGAGAGATTTCAATGTACTCAGATTCTCTCCATTTAGCCAAAGTGAAAGTGAAGCCAGGAGCGAAGTTATTTTGTTCCACAAATATTATCAACATTCTCCAGAAACTTATTTCACTTGGATCCTCAAGGATTGTACAGAGAAATCCTTAGATGGCTCTCACATTAAATGAGACAATAGACCTATTCTGGAATACATAAATATCTCTTAAGTTTGTCTTGGAATATGTGAAATAAATATTCTAAAACACTACAATATTGTTCACCAACTTTGAAAAGTGAGTGAAATGATGTTCAATTCAAAGAATGATATCGAAGAGATTATCAGAGTAAACAAAAAAGGAAGCTAACTCATAGAAAGTTACCACCAAAAAGGTGTATTTTACTCTATATAAAGTTAAAAAACAATTTAAAATGAAATAAAACTTTTGACTTTTGAATTAACAAATGCACAAAATAAAAATGCATCTTTATTTCTCATAACTTTATTGATACTTATATTAATGAATAAGAAAACATGCAATATAGAACCTGAAATAGAACAATTAATACACATTTGCCACTGGACTACATACCGCCATCCTGGGCCATACAATATCCAATCTTCTCACTTTCAAAGCATGGCTAGAGCTGCTTTGGGATACTGTTCACTTTCAGATGCTGTATGATGTCACAGAGGAGGAATCTTCCCAAAATACAAATATAAATACATATTTCATAAAACTCCAAGTACTTAAGCAGGGACAACATAAATTTCACGCATTTTATTCCTAAAAGTATCACATACAATCACTAAACAATTGCCTTCATTTTTTTTTCATTTGTGCACACACATTTTTCTGAGTAGCCTGTTCATTACTACTTCTGCTGTTGTCAACTTGCACTGCTTTTAAAAATCATATTTACTGAAAGCACATAGATGGTTAGTGTAAGAAAGCTACTATGAATGAATATTTTAAGGCCTCTGCATAAAATTGCTCTGGTGTGGCAATTGGCACGTAATGTTAGAAGGTTCCTGTCCAAATAGAGTTCAGCTTCTCTTGCTCCCATGTTTTCCAGGGCAATTGTGCTGGTTGGAAATAGCCAAAATAGTGTCTAACGATTGTCATAAAACGTTTATCTAAACATAACTATAAATTTGGTTTGGAACAAATATGAAAGAAGAAAGACAAGAAATGATAACCTTACTGGAAAATATAAATCAGAGTGTAGAAAGAAAAAGCCTAAACAACTAGATGCTCATAAACGTACATTAGGAGATATATGCACATTCGGCCTTAATATAAACACAAAAAACTAATGCTGAAATATAGATGTGGGTAAAACATAATTTTCATATGCCTGAAAAGGATTTATTTTTCATGTGACATGATTACATTTTAAGGCCTGCACAATTTGTGATTTTTTTAGTCTATTTTTCTCCATTTTAATGAAAGTGTGTGACAAATATTAGCTTGGGAAGGCAGAGGCTCTTCATAACTGTCACCAATACACAATAGCACTAATCATTTAACAACCATTTTTTCTAACCAAATTTACATTACCAAAAATAAAATGTTAAATAACTAAATGAAACTACACAAAATGTACTCTCAAATTTATTACATTGTTTGTATCATATGTAAGTTTGTTTTTAATACACTGACACAGTATTAGCTAAAATTTGAAGATAAAGTTCAAGAAAAAAATGTGTATCCACTTAGCATATAAGATACAGTGTGTTTGAATACATATTTACGAATGTGTTATATTAACGCTATAGCTAGTAAATTAATAATCACATATAATTGAACATGGCCACAAAATAGAACAACCAGTCTGGCTGAACATATTATCATACTTGTCATTCAATTTGAAGTTTTAATTTCAAACTAAATCAAATCTTTCTTTTTTCAAGGGAAATATTTTTGATTGATGGTAGAATAACACTTTTGTAGTTCTGGTATTAAAGTTTTTGCACAACAGAAGAGCCACCTGTGTGCTTTGTCAACCTATAGCTCTGTCCATCCATTCAAAGAAAGAATTTGTAATATGATGAGAAAGATCTCATTGGATCTGAAGCCTTGGAAGTTACAAGCTGCCAAAGCCAGACCTACTGGAAGCTTAGAAAGAGAATGCATAGGGGAGAATAACTGGGCTCACACCCCTTGCCTCTTTGGCTACTTCTAGCCTGCTTCCACTCAAAGCCTCTCTGGTACAAAGCCAGAAGAGGGTGCCCAGTCATTTAATATTCTAAACACTATCTAAGTCTGACTATATAATCAGAGTTAGAAAGGGCAATAAAAGCATATTTGTTCATTCCTATATCTCTAGGAAAGGTATCAAAACTTCACCAATTTTTAGATATGAGGATCTAAGAGCCACCTTTATAACTCAATAAATCACACTACCAGAAAAAAATTCTCAAATATTTGACTTTGGTTCCTATTCTGATTTTCAATAATGTAGATAGTAACCATTCACATTTGTGACACATTATTTAATAATCTTTCAGTTTCTCCTTTTTATCTCCTTTTTATTTATTTATTTATTTTTGTGTGTGTATATCTTAACTAAAAATGTGGAGAGGAAATAACTAAAATAGAAGAAAAAATTCTCACTTATGATACCTTTGCCAGTTTTTAGAGAAAAAGCATTCTAAAATCTACTGGAAGCGCTGATTTTGTCATTCTGGGTTTATCTTCCCCAGGTTTAAAATCTTCATCATCAACAATAGCAACAATATTAACAAATATACATGGTCATATTTCAATAAACTTTCAAATATCATCAGTCCTTCAGAATTTACATGCACCTGGAATACCAGTTTACTCCAAATCCCTTTGAACGTTAACAAACATAAAGGAGAAAAAGTTAATAATATTAATCAATTTGAAATTTCACTAATTAAACTCTAGTAGTTAAAAGTTAAGAAGTTATTCTACACACCAAATCAAATATGATTTAAAGAGCTTCACAATGGGAACAATATTTTCTCAAAACGCTACGTAACCTGCTGGGCACATGAAGAGAAGCTTTCTCAATATTCAGTGGAAACCTTCACCAATGAAATTATACATTTACCACGGTTTATATTACAACATTTACACACAGTTTAATCATAAATTACATATCTTCAAGTTACACATTACGAAGTCTACATCTAATTTAATCAAGAATATTCACTCCCCCCCCACCCCAACTAAAACATCAATTGTTTCTTGGTTTAGTGTAATACCGAAACAAGACATTTTCTCGGTTTTGCTATTGAGGAAAATTAAGTTGGTGGTTTTTCTGTAAATTGGTGAAATGTGCACGTAGAAGAACATGGCCAGTTAAAAGGACAAAGAAGAAAACTAAAAACAGACAACAGAAGGAAACTAGTGTTCCCTAGGAATACTACTGTATTCTTTGCTTAGAAGGACACATTTTGTTTCATATGTGAGATTTTGTTGTTTTTTTATGTGTGTGTTATTGGGGTATTTCTTATCCACCCCAAGAAGCAGTCATGTACCTCATTTCTCCCTCTGCACATCTCCTTAAAATTCTGTACTGTAGCACATTTGATGTAGATTCATGATTAACATCTCTTAAAAAGTTCCTTCCTTTCATCTTGTTATCAGTGGTTTTTTTCAGTAAGTTGAGCTAGAATGATGAAAATCCCTTAGTCTTATAAGTTTAGTATGTGGTTATATATACAGTTATATTTATTTGTTTATTCCTTTTACTTAACATCTTTTGCTATCAGCCTATTCAGCTGTCAAATCAACATTTAAATCTTCCTGATATTCCCTAGAAAATAGCAGTTTACAGTCACAACTGTAAAGGAATCCTGCATTGAATACATCCACCTTCCTTGTGATTTTCTGGGCTGTTATACACAAATTCCAGAAGATAAAGACCCGATTAATAATGGAATATAGGCTTAAAATGGCAGATACAATATGATTTCTGATGTACTTTACACTAAACTACAAAGAGGAACTTAAAAGAAAAGGAGGCCCTTTTTAGCAGAGAGTTGCCTAACTTGGGCACAGTTATTGCACTTCAGTGTCTCGAACTCTACTAAAGAGTAGAGAAATAGGTTATAGACATAAATCTGTACAGTTTATATATGTTCTTTACTTAAAATGTATATACAAATTATATGAACAATATATTCTTGAAATAAAAGTAGAAAACATAAAAAACAGATAGAAAAAATGTATAAGAGATATTTATACTCCCTACTGTGCATTTTTGTAGAAACACTAGTAACAAAAAACTGGAGACAAATATCAAACAAAAAGACAAAAATGCTACCATATTTATACTTTCTAATGTTATCTGAACAAGAGTTTAGATAAACTAAAGGTACTCTTGGAAAATCAGTTATTTGCTAGTTCTCCATTTGCTACATACTGGGTCCACAAAAATCAGAATGGAAAAATCAGTAATATTGCACATGTTGGTAAAAGTAAATGAAAAAAATTACAATGCATCAGAAATAATATACAGTACACATTAATATCTGTCATGATAAGCCTTTCTGTACAAAGGGGTGTGAATTTTTTTCATTTCTTTTATTTTTTAATTTACATTCTGAATTAAACAAATTGTAAATTTATTTTTAACTTTTGACTAAGGGTCTAGCTCTAGACTTTATTCTGGTATCTGTTTCTATTTACATAGCTATTTACAAACCTAACAATTTGGAATATTCATTGAAACTGGATCTTAAACTTTGATTATATACATCCTGTTGGAAAATGTGAATTAGCTGTTTAGCTTTATAAAGGATGTTCTTCCATAATAGGGGAATCACCTCGAGAGGATTTGGCTTGTTGGCCTGGAGTGAAAGTTGTCAAGGGAATGACTTTAATTGAATCGTCACTAGGATGAAGTCTTTCAGACATGGTGTAAAACTGGGATCTTGTACTGCCTTGCACTCCTTGATCAAGAGAAAGCAGTCCCTCAGGTCCAGCACCTTGCCCCCAACCTTGCTGCAAACCCATTGGTGGCTGTGCAGGGCTGCGATAGAGGGCAGCAGCCTGTGGCAGAGGAGGGCTGTAGCGGAGGACTGAGGCCTGTGCTGGTGGAGGGCTGTGGCGAAGAGCAGTAGCCTGTGCTGCAGGCGGACTGTGGTGGAGAGCAGAGGCCTGTGCTGGTGGAGGGCTGTGGCACAGTGCGATAGCCTGGGTCACCGGAGGATTGTGGCAGAGAGCAATGGTCTGTGTCACCGGAGGGCTGAGGCGGCGAGCAGAGGCCTGTGTCAGGGGTGGGCTGTGGCAGAGAGCAGAGGCCTGTGCCTGTGAAGGGCTGGAATGGGTCAGAGAAGCTGGCATCCAGCAGGCATCAGAATGGCCCAAGATGAGACATTCTTGAGTGCAGTTGTCAGAGGCCTCTTCCACAGTTGGTTGAACAGTTATTTCTGCAGCTGTTAGGGTGGGAAACAAATGATAAAATTTATATTTAAAAGACATACTTCTATTAGCTACTTGAAATAAATCATATTGTTACAAGAAAAGTTAGTAATCTATATATAAATACATCAGAGACTTCCAATATTTGCACATTTGGTACTTGATTGGTCAAGAAATAATTCCTAGAGAAACATAACCAGAAGTGGGTGGGTGGGGTCTCATTTTTATAAATTAAGATACTTTGGCCTAGTATTCCAAATGTAGATATGTTTTATTGAGTTTGTGACTATAAATGGAAACTATGGTCATTCATCTATACACACAAGTCAGTTGAAATATGGCTCCTAACTAACACAAGGAGAGGACACGAGCAAAATGAATGGGAAAACCAGTCCTAGAAACATATGATGAACTAACCAATTATAGCTAACCATTTGGTTAAGAATCTAATTAATTAATTTGAGAATAAATCTAAGAATAAATTAGGTTAATTTTGAAACATAGTTTGTTGAACTTTAAGATATGCCTTTTAGTTTCAAGAATGAAATATAGCTGTAATTATCTCAAAGATAACTTATTTCTGTATTCTTCATTTTCTGAAATAATGACAAATCAGAGTTTAGTAACATAATAAACTATAGATCCAAAGTACTTAGCTTTAAACTATAATATTTTCTAAAACTACTTTATAAGATTTCTATAAAGTTTACAAATGCCAATAGGTATCAAATATCAATAAGTACACCATACAAAGACTAGCAAAATAGAGTAGCTATAGCAATATAAAAGTTGACTTTAGAGCAAGAAATGTTTTTAGCCATATAAAGGATACAATCATGATATAAAGGTCAATTCTCAAAGACGACATAACAATCTTAAAAATTAAAAATAGGAATTCATGATCCTATAAATCCTCAAGAGGATATAGAGTCCAGGTCATTATTCCATCACATCTAAAACCAAAGAATAGGACATATAAGAACTGACTCCATTAAGACTAATTTTCTCCATTAGATAACCATTTACTTTTCTACATTTAGAGGATACTTAAAAAATGCCCTATGAGATTAACATTTAAAATATACTATATTTTTGCACAATTATATTTGAGAAATAGGAAGGTAGAGTTTTATGTGTTTGGAGTGATATTAAGTCATGAAAGCATGTATGGAAATATATGAACACACATATAACTATACTTTAAAACAAATTTTAATTTCCTGGTCATCAGAAAAGCAACTCATCTGGCAGCCTTTTTACAACAAAAGAATACATCATAATTTAAACATTGAGTTATTTGCCTATTTATGACAAGGAAATTGATACAAAGCCATTTTTCACTGAAAAGAGATATGATTTATAGACCTTTTTAATAGCTTTATTGAGATATAATTCATATACCGTAAAATACACCCATTTAAAGTGCACAATTCAATAGTTTTTAGTATATTCACAGAGTTGTGCAATCATCATACAATCAACTTTGGGACATCCTTATCATCCCAAAAAGAAACCCAGTATCTATTAGCAGTCACTGCCTATTTCCTCCCAAACCCCACAGCCCTAAGCAACTATTAATCTACTTTATTCTTTTATAGATTTGTCTGTTCTAGACATGTAATATAAATGGAATCTTTTAAATGGAGTCTTTTGTAACATTTAGTATAATGTTTTTTTTTCCTTTTTTTTTTTGTGAGGAAGATCAGCCCTGAGCTAACATCCATGCTAATCCTCCTCTTTGTGCTGAGGAAGACCGGCTCTGAGCTAACATCTATTGCCCATCCTCCTCCTTTTTTTCCCCAAAGCCCCAGTGGATAGCTGTATGTCATAGCTGCATATCCTTCTAGTTGCTGTATGTGGGACGCAGCCTCAGCATGGCCAGAGAAGCAGTGCATCGGTGCACGCCCGGGATCCGAACCCGGGCCGCCAGCAGCGGAGCGCGCGCAATTAACCGCTAAGCCATGGGGCTGGCCCAGTATAATGCTTTTAAGTTTCATCAATGCTGTAGTATGTATCAGTACTTCAATTTTTTTTTTTATTGGCCAAGATTATAATTTGTATGGATATACTACATTTTACTCATCCATTCATAAGTTGATGGACATTTGGGGTGTTTCCACTTTTTGGCTATCATAAGAAAATGCTGTTATGAACATTTGTGTAAAAGTTTTTGTGTAGATACAGTTATTCGTTTTTCTCAGGAATATACACAGAATTGGAGTTGCTGGGTGATATGGCAACTCTATGTTTAACTTTTGAGGAACTGTCAAACATTTTCCAAATTGGCTGCAGTATTTTACATTACCACCAACAATGCATGAAAATTCCAACTCCTCTACTCACTTTCTGCAAAAATTCAGCTGGGATTTTGATAGGGACTATGTTGAATCTGAAGATCAATTTGTGAAGTATTGCACTTTAACAATTTTAAATCTTCTGATCTTTGAACATGGGATGTCTTTCCACTTACTTGGATCCTTAATTTCTTTCAACAGTATTTCAGAATTTTCAGAGTACAAACCTTATGTTTCTTTTGTTAAATTTGTTTCTAAGTATTTTATTCCATTTTGTCCTATTGTAAATGGGATTGTTTTCTTAATTTTTTTTTAGGTATATTTACTGCTAGAGTATAGAAATATACTTGATTTTTATATATTGCTCTTATAACCTAGAACACTGTTGAGATTGATTATTAGTTTTAATAGGTTTTTAGTGGATTTCTTAGAATTTTCTATATTCAAGATCATATCATCTGCATATAGAAAGTTTTACCTCTTTCTTTGCAATCTGGATGCCTTTTATATCTTTTTCCTGTCTGATTGCCTTGGCTAAAACCTCCAGTATAAAGTTTAATAGAAGTGGTGAAAGCAGACATCCTATGTCTTTTTCCTGATCTTAGAAGACAACATTGAGTATTTCACCATGAAAGTATTTTCTAATTTCTCTCTTGGTTTCTTCTTTAACCAACTGATTATATAGGAGTGTGTTGTTTAATTTCCCCTTACTTGTTAGTTTTCCAAATTCCTTTCTGTCATTTATTTATAATTTCATTACATTGTTGTCAGAGAATATACTCTGTATGAGTACAATTCTTTCAACATATTTAGGCTTGTTTTATAGTCTAGCATATAGTCTATCCTGTAGAAAGCAGCATGTGCACTTGAGGAGAATGTGTATTCTTCTCTTGTTGGATGCAGTGTTCTACAGATTTCTGTTAGGTCTAGTTGGTTTATAGTACTGCTCATGTCTTTTATTTCTTTGTTGGTCTCTTCTCTAGTTGTTCTCCCTATTATAGAAAGTGGAGTATGGAAATCTTTAGGTGTTATTGTTGAATTGTCTATTTCTCCCTTCATTTCTGTCAGTTTTTGCTTCATGATTTTGGGGACACTGTTGTTAGATACATATATGTTTATAATTGTTATGTCTTCCTGATTATTTTGTCTTTTTATCATGATAAAATGTCGCTCTTTATCTCTAGTAACATTTTTTAAAATTATTTTATTGAGATCATATTGGTTTATAACATTGTGGAGTTTCAGGTGTACATTATTATATATCAGTTTCTGTATAGATAGCATCTTGCCCACCCCACAATGGTCTAGTTTTTATCTATCACCATATATATGTACCCCTTTACCCCTTTTGCATTCCCAACTGGAAACCACTAATCTCTTCTCCTTATCCATGTGTTTGTTCATCTTCCACAAATAAGTAAAATCATGCACTGTTTGTCTTTCTCCTTCTGGCTTATTTCTCTTAACATAATACCGTCAAGGTCTTTCCATGTTGTCGCAAATGGAACAATTTTGTCTTTTTTATGGCTGAGTAGTATTGTATTGTACATATATACCACATCTTCTTTAACCATTCATCAGTTGATGGGCACTTCGGTTGCTTCCGTGTCTTGGTTATTGTGAATAATGCTGTAATGAACATAGGGGTGCATAAATCTCTTTGTATCGTTGATTACATGTTCTGACCTAGTAGTGGGATAGACGGATTGTGCAGTATTTTTATTTTTAATTTTTGAGAAATCTCTATACTGTTTTCTGTAGTGGCTGCACCAGTTTGCATTCCCACCAACAGTGTATGAGTGTTCCGTTTTCTCCATATCCTCTCCAACGCTTGTTATTTTTTGTCTTGTTAATTATAGTAATTCTGACGGGTGTAAGGTGATATCTCATTGCAGTTTTGATTTTCATTTCCCTAAAAATTAGTGATGTTGAACATCTTTTCATGTGCCTGTTGGCCATCTGTACATCTTCTTTGGAAAAATGGCTGTTCAGATCCTCTTCCCATTTTATGATGAGGTTGTTTGCTTTGTTGTTCTTGAGTTGTATGTGTTCATCACATATTTTGGGAATTAATCCCTCGTTGGATGTATGATTTGCAAATATTTTCTCCCAGTTAGTGGGTTATCTTTTCATTTTGTGCATGGTTTCCTTTGCCTTACAGAAGCTTTTTAGTCTGATGTAGTCCCATTTGTTTATATTTAATTTTGTTTCCCTTGCCTAAGTAGACATGGTATTTGAAAAGATGCTGAGACCAATGTCAAAGAGTGTACTGAGTATGTTTTCTTCGAGAAGTTTTATGGTACTAGGTCTTACATTCAAGTCTTTAATCCATTTTGAGTTAATTTTCATGTATGGTGTCAGATAATGGTCTACTTTCATTCTTTTGCATGTGTCTGTCTAGTTTTCCCAACACAATTTATTGAAGAGACTTTCCTTTCTCCATTATATGTTCTTGGCTCCTTTGTTGAAGATTAGCTGTCCATAGATGTGTGGGTTTATTTCTGGGATTTCAATTCTGTTCCATTGATCTCTGTGTCTGTTTTTCTGCCAGTACCATGCTGTTTTGATTACTATAGCTTTGTAGTATATTTTGCAGTCAGAGATTGTGATGCCTCCAGCTTTGTTCTTTTTTCTCAGGATTACTTTGGCTATTCAGGGTCTTTTGCTGTTCCATATAAATTTTAGGATTCTTTGTTCTATTTCCATGAAGAATGTCATTAGGATCCTGATTTGGTTTGCATTGAATCTCTAGATTGCTATAGGAAA